CTCAAAGCTGAATCAAGAAGATATAAAGTACCTTAATAGACCTATTAACATAAAGGAAATTGAAACTGCAATCAAAAGTCTTCCCAAGGGGCTGGAGAGATAGCACAGTGGGGAGGGCATTTGCCTTGCACGCAGCAGACCCGGGTTCGATTCCCAGCATCCCATATGGTCCCCTGAGCACCCCCAGGAGTAACTCCTGAGTGCAGAGCCAGGAGTAAACCCTGTGTATCGCTGGGTGTGACCCAAAAAGCAAAAAAAAAAAAAGTCTTCCCAAAAACAAAAGCCCAGGTCCAGATGGATTCACTAGCGAATTTTCCCAAGCACTTAAATAGGACCTATTGCCAGTTCTTCTCAAGCTATTCCAGGAAATTGAATAAACAGAAACTCTCCTAAACAGTTTCTATGAAGCCCATATATCTCTAATACCAAAAGGAAACAAAGACACCACAAGAAAACTACAGGCCCATATCCCTGATGAACACAGATGCAAAGATTCTCAACAAAATACTAGCAAATAGAATTCAACAACTCATCAAAAAGATCATACACCATGACCAAGTGGGATTCATCCTGGGGATGCAAGGATGGTTTAACATTTGGAAATCAATCAACATATTCCATCATATCAACAAAAGATAAAAATCATATGATCATATCAATAGATGCAGAGAAAGCATTTGACAAGATCCAGCACCTGTTTATGATGAAAACCCTTGCCAAAATGGGGATAGAGGGAACTTTCCAAAATATAGGTAAAGACATCTACCATAAGCCTACAGCAAGCATCATCCTCAATGGGGAAAAACTGAGAGCCTTCCCCCTAAGATCAGGGACTAAACAAGGATGCCCACTCTCTCCACTACTGCTCAATATAGTACTGGAAGTACTTGCAATAGCAATTAGGAAAGAAAAAGACATTAAGGGCATCCAGGTAGGAAAGGAAGAAATCAAGCTCTCACTATTCACAGATGATATGATACTATTCTTAGAGAACCCTAAAACCTCTACCAAGAAATTCCTAGAAACAACAGACTTGTACAGTAAAGTTGCAGGCTATAAAATCAATACCCAAAAGTCCATGGCTTTCCTATACACAAATAGTGAAAGAGAAGAAAGTGACATGAAGAAAACAATCCCGTTCACAATTGTGCCCCAGAAAATCAAGTACTTAGATACTTAGATACTATGGCACATCTACACAATGGAATACTTTGTGGCTGTTAGGGGAAATGAAGTAATGAAATTTGCCTATAAATGGATAGACATGGAGAGAAAAATGAGTCAGAAGGAGAGGCACAGATATAGTATGATTGTATTCATTTGTTGAACATATATATATATATAATATATACACACACACATATGGCTAGAGCGGCAGCACAGCAGTAGGGCATTTGCCTTGCATGCCCGGCTAAACCAGCTTCGATTCCTCCACCCCTCTCGGACAGCCCGGCAAGCTACCGATAGTATCTCGCCCAGATGGCATAGCCTGGCAAGCTACCCGTGACGTATTATGCCAAACACAGTAACACGTCTCACAATGGAGATGTTACTGGGCCCACTAGAGCAAATCAATGAACAACGGGAGGACAGTGCTACAGTGCTACGTACATATATATATGACATATCCACGGCCAGGGAAAACAGGGCCCAGGACTGGTAGACAGTTGGAATCTCTCATTATCTGCATTATTTTTTCTTGTCACAGCGTGATTATTTCCAGCTATTATTGTCATAGTGGTCCTTTTTTTAAATATTACCTTCCCTCCGTCTCACACACACTTGTGGTTGATTCCAACTATCTTTTTATTGAATCACCATGAGCTAGTTACCAAACTTTCATGTTTGAGCTTCAGTCATACAATGATCGAACACCCATCCCTCCACAAGTGTACATTTTGCACCACCACCCCAAGTATCCCTCTCCACCCCCTTCCCACCTCTCCCCCTTCTTCTATGTCAGTTTCCTTCTTGGGTATTATGGTTTGCAATACAGATAAGAAAAGTACATGCCATAGAGGTAGGCTGGGGGGGTGTCATGGGAGGGAAACTGGGAATGCTGGTGCTGGGAAATGTACACTGGTGGAGGAATAGGTGTTAAAACATTGTATGACTTAAATCTAATCATGAACAGCTTTGTAAGGGTCTATCACGGTGATTCCATAAAAGTATCTTTTAAAAAAGCCTAATATATGTTCTTCTGTAGAGCGCATGGAACATTCTGTAGGGCATCACATTTAAAACATAAGTCTAACTTACATAAATTCACAAACATCAAAATCATACTGAGAATCCTATCAGACTGAAACCCTACTATAAACAGCTTTGTAACTCTGTATCTCATGGTGATTGAATGAAAAGTAAACAGTAAATAAATCAAGCATAACTACCCTAAAAACCCCATAGAAAAAAACTAGGAGGAAATTAGCAGACAATTCTGAAGAAGACCAATGGATGACCAACAGGCACATGAAAAAATGCTCGTCATTTCTTACTATTAGGGAAATCACAATAAAGACAATGAGATTTTATCTTAAGTCAGTGAGAATTGTACATATCAGAAATATGGGGAACAATCTCTGTTGGTGGGAAGTAGTGAAAAAGGAGCCTTCATCCAGTACTGGTGGGAATGCTCTCTGGTCCGATCCCTATGAAGAAGAGTATGGAGGCCACTCAGTAAACTCAGAACTGAATTCCCATATGAACCAGCAATTTCACTTTTGGGTATCCCCAGGAGAGAAAAAAACATTTATTCAAAAAACTGTATGTACATCATTATTCATTGTAGGGCTGGAGCAATAGCACAGCGGGTAGGGTGATTGCCTTGTGTGCAGCCAACCCAGCTGAGCCGGGTTCGATTCCTCTGCCCCTCTCAGAGAGCCCGGCAAGCTACCAAGAGTATCTCGCCCGCACGGCAAAGCTTGGCAAGCTACCTGTGACGTATTCAATATGCCAAACACAGTAACAACAAATCTCAAAATGGAGACGTTACTGGGCCCGCTTGAGCAAATCGATGAACAACGGGAGGACAGTGCTACAGTGCTATTCATTGTAGCCCTCAGTACAATAGCTAAGACTTGGAACCAACCTGGATGTCCAACAACAGAAGTGGATCATGAAGATGTGGTATATAAATACAATGGAATACTGCAAGGCTGTAAGAAATAATGGAATCATGCAATTTGCTGCAACATGGATGGAACTTTTTTTGGCTTTTAGGTCACACCTGACGATGCACAGGGGTTACTCCTGGCTCATGCACATAGGAACTTCTCCTGGCAGTGCTCGGGGGACCATCTAGGATGCCAGGAACTGAACCGGGTCGGCTGTGTGCAAGGCCCCCTGGATGGTACTTTAAGACATCAAGTTTAATGAAATAAGCCAGAAGAAAAGGGATAAATACAGGATAACATCACTTACATGTGGTACTTAGAACACCAGTATGAGGGGGCTGGAGCGATAGCACAGCGGGTAGGGCATTTGCCTTGCACGCGGCTGACACGGGTTTGATTCCCAGCATCCCATATGGTCCCCTGAGCACCGCCAGGAGTAATTCCTGAGTGCATGAGCCAGGAGTAACCTCTGTGTAGCATTAAGGTGCTTGCCTTGTACACAGCCTAAATGGGTTTAATCTCAGAGGCTACAGCAATAGTACAGTATTAAGGTGCTTGCCTTATACACAACCAAACTGGGTTTAATCTCTGACATCTTATATTGTCTCCTGAGCCTGCCAGGAGTGAATCCTGAGTGCAGAGCCATGAGTAAGCCCTAAGCATCACTGGGTGTGGCCCACAAACCAAAAGAAAGAAGAAAAAAATGTGCTTATGCTCATCATCACTCTGATTAGGGAAATGCAAATCAAAACAATGAGATATTCAAGAATGGTCCATATCAAAAAGTTTGGAAATAGCCAATGATGGCAGGAAAGTGGGAAGAACTTTTTATCATTGTTGAAGGGAATGTTGTCTGGTTCAAACTCTCTGGAAAACCCTCTTAAGATTTCTCAAAAAGGGGCTGGAGCAATAGCACAGCGGGTAGGGCATTTGCCTTGCACGCAGCTGACCTAGGTTTGATTCCCAGCATCCCATATGGTCCTTCGAGCACCACCAGAAGTAATTTCTGAGCACATGAACCAGGAGTAACTCGTGTGCATCGCTCAGTGTGACCCAAAAAGCAAAAAAAAAAGCAAAAACACCCAGTGATACCATTTCTTACCATTACTTGACATCTACCCCCCCAAACAGAAAGTAGATGGCATCGTGCGGAATGAAGTCAAAAGGAAAATGACAGACAGAGAAAAATCTCTCTCATATGTAGAATTTAAAGATACACAGAGCAAAAAATGGCCAAAAGCAATAGAACTTCATAGTCCACAGAGCTGAGTATAACACAGGGGTGTGGGACAAGAGGAATCTTTGGGACTTTGGTGGAGGGAAGCGGCATTCTGATTTTGGCACAAATTAAGTACTAATATCCATTTTTAAACGATTGGCTTAAATTTGTTCTTTAATTCATCTCTTTAAAGAGCTATTTCTGGGGCTGGAGCAATAGCACAGCAGGTAGGGCATTTGTCTTGCATGCGGCCGACCCCGGTTCAATTCCCAGCATCCCATATGGTCCCCTGAGCACCGCCGGGAGTAGTTCCTGAGTGCAAAAGCCAGGAGTAACCCCTGTGCATTGCCGGGTGTAACTCAAAAAGCAAAAAAAATGGCTATTTCTACATACTGCCATGATCTAAGGAAAAGTAGTGCTCATAAAATCTCAAAGATTATAATCCTCAAATTCTAAAATAAGAAAATAAATTTTAATTGTTAAAGAAAAACTTACTGAAGAACTTAGATAGCTTTCATATTTTCTTCTCCATTGTTTACCTATATTCCTCGCAAAGAGAACTTATGTTGTTTCTACAAAAATAATGCCAGTTATATAAACAAACTTTAAAAGCACGTGAAAAAAATGGTATTAATAAAGAATAACATGAAAAAATGTGCCATGCCAGTTTTAATTTCATTGTTTTAATATCATGAAATACAAGTACAAAACATTGTACAAGTATAATTTTTACTACACGAAGATGGAATAATACATTTGTGTTCTTAGCAGAATATGTATTACCCAGTATTAGCCATTATACCAAATATTTTCCACAGGGATTTTTTTTTCTATTCCTATGAGGTTGTATCATGAATAAGAAAGCTCACAATTTTTAACCACGGCAGATCTATATTTATCTTATTATTCCTGTTTAGCTGCTTTGGAGAACTGTGAAGAAATACTTTAGCTAAGAGTAACTTTGATATTTCATGTTGGCTGAGATCTTCCTTATGTTGGCATTGCAAAGACAACATGCATTTATATGGAGTAAGAAAAAATGTCTCAAAAGCCTCCTTACTGCTTAGGAAGCCAAATTAGCATTTCCTGAAAAAGTACAGAATATTGTAATAAATAATTATTGGCTAAACAGTTATTCGTGAAACTATTTACACAAGACATAATGACAACAGAGGACTAGAAAGTCCCACATCATGTAGTAAAGAAAACAAGTTTGCAAGTATCCAAAACTGGTCTTCTCACCTCTAAACTGGTTTAACCACGTCAGGTGAGAGTAACATCAGCCAATAAAGAAAAGCAAACTGTGCTAAGTGTTCAAAATTCAACTTCCATAGTCTATCTCACAGTTTTTGGCCATTTCGGCTAAGACTTTTCTTATGACAAAAAAATTAACAAAAGCAGCATTTATTTTGCTGAAAATGTGAAAAAAAATAATACTGCTAATTTTAAAAAATATGTGAACTAATTTTGTTTTTATAAATAAATAAAATGATTTTTATCATTTTTTTAAATTTTAATTATCATTCTTGCTGTTAAAAAATCACTCAGACATATGTCAACTTTTAAGGGTAAACTTAGGGGTATTTAAAACTTGTTTGGAAAACTGAACCACATTTAAATTGCCAACATTATGCTTTGTTCTTGGTAGGATCATCTTTGTTTCTTCTTTTCACATCCCAATTATAAACTCTGGCCATATCTGCAAACAATTGTCAAAGAAAATACAAAAGTGGCTCTAAACAAAATATGTAATGACTAAGCAGTCACACACTGAATCAAATAGACAGAAGTCACACAGAAACACACTCGTCTGATGACGAGCCAAGTCTTCTTGCCACTCATTTGCTAATAGTAGAATTCCACCAAAATTAAATCAAGAAATCAAACCAACAATTATTTAGCATCTCTAGTCAATTACATACTATGTACAGAGTCAACTATATCGAAAAATATACACTTGGCATTCTCAACAACTTTAGAGAGCCTCTCTGCCTTGTCATTATATAAATTCATTCAAGTCATATTCTGACATGAAATATTCCAATTAGTATAACTTGTTTTTAAATTTATAAATAAGTATTTTAAAATAAAGTAATTCACTCTCATCCCAAGTTTAACATCTTTCCCTGTGATAAGAATCACCCTGCATGGTTCGGGCAAGAAATCCCTCCAGATTTAATTGTTAAAATTTTGGAATTTCAATAACACACAGCCACTACTGCAGCCATGCGACATCATATGTTATTCTTAACCAGCAATAGAAAACAAATTGTCTACTGTTGCCTTTTCGGCAGATCTGAGTGTTGGGGTAAAATCCCAAATAATAATGGTGGGTGTGGTGTCAAAATATTGAATGTAATCAAAGTAGAGAGAGAGTAATTTGTTGTTGCTTTTTAATTTTTTAAATTTTTATTAGTGAAACACCATGAGGTACAATTGTAGATTTACAAATTTTTGTGCTTGGGTTTCAATTAAACAATGATTAAGTACCCATTCCTCCACCACTGCACATTTTCCACCACCACAGGCCCCAGTATCCCTCCCACCCCCCATCCCACCCTGCCTCTGTGGCAGGGCATTCCCTTTTGTTCTCTGAGGGAGAGTAATGTGGAAATCATCTGCCCCACAGGTAGGGGGAGGGTGTGGGATGGGGATATTCTGGAGCTTTAGGGGGTGGAGAATGGGCACTGGTGAAGGTACGGGTGTTTCATTGTATGACCGAGACTTAAACCCGAAAGAAAGGTGGAATTCATGCACAATTAAATCAGCCTAATCAGTGGCTAAATAAATAGCAGTACTCCTATATATATAAAAAAAGAATCACCCTGCACAAGACCTTGCTTGTCAATTCTTTCTTTCACGGTCCAAGCCTTTGTTGTTGAAACTAAATGCCATAACACAAGATCATCTAAGTCCTCTCCAATGTTATCTTCTCGAAGTTTTATAGTTTTTACCCATCTAGACGAAGTCTTCACATTCTCAGTCACATGCCAACTCCTGCACATGACTTCAAATAGGCCTGCCTTTCCTCCCAAAGCCCTCTACGCCTGCTTCATGCAACATGCTATGGAAAAGAGGCTGTGGAAGCAAGTAACAGTTGCCAGTGAAAATAATACACAGGGCTGGAGTGATAGTACAGTGGGTAGGGCGTTTGCCTTGAACACGGCCAACCCGGATTCGATTCCCAGCATCCTATGTGGTCCTTCGAGCACCACCAGGAGTAATTCCTGAGTGGAAAGCCAGGAGTAACTCCTGAACATCACCAGGTGTGACCCAAAAAGCAAAAAAAGAAAAGAAAAGAATACACACACATGTGTGTATATCTTATTTTATATATGTGCTAAGTAACACAGAGGAACAATGAAACATCCTGAAAGAATCAGATATACTCAGAACTGTTTGGGTACTTCATCTAAAACATGCACTGTGAGGACAATGACTACCGCAAAAAGACAGATCAGAGAAGAAACGCAGAGTTAAATATACCTTATCTCCTCTTGACCAGAAAACCTATTCCCCACATCTTCTCTCCATTGATCTAAATCCTGCAAGACCTTTAAAAACTGCCATTATGTGGGATGAGTACATGCTTTGCATGCGGGAGGATGGAGCTGATTTCCAGGCACTACATAGTCCCCCACACATATTGACAGTGATCTCGAGCATCACTAGTTGTGATCACAGACTAAACCAAACTGCTCCTAACCCTTCTTAGAAACAATTCCAGATCACCTCTTTCTCTATACTGCCTTGGTCTTGCATACATTAACTTATATTTTGCTATGAAATAATTAAACCTTCTTTTATTACTGGTTTTCTTACCATATCATTCCAAAACCAACTTAGCACAAATAGCTTAGCACAGTAATAATATCACAAGAGAACATAATAGATGCTTGTGGAATTAAACCAACTATGAAGGTGTCATGAGAAAATAACTGAATGGAGAATGCTCAGTTACCAATTTGAGCTTGCACATGCCTTCAGACTTCAAATTTAGATTAATATACAAACTTAACTATTAGGTACCTATCAAGTATTTAAGTAATAATGTTATTTATTATTCTAATAAAATATGGACCTTTAGATTAGCCTAAGTATAAGGATATCTTCTCATCTAAAACTAGTTTGAATAGTAAGTGCATTTCTCCTTTCCCTCCTCTTTTTTAAAGAAAGGATACTGACTTCTGTGGTAGTAAATTGATCTCGAAGAAAATCAAGGTCTTCCTCAAGAGAATCAAGATTCTTTGTGGCAGTTGATAAATTCTTTTCCAACAGTGCCTGGGCTTCATCAATATCATATTCAAGCATTACATTAGCCTGAAGAGAGAAAATCATGATGAGTCAAGAGAATCAAGATACTTTTTGGCACTTGATAAATTCTTTTCCAACAATGCCTGAGCATCAACATATTCAAGCATTACCTAGCCTTAAGAGAGAAGTCATGATGATTACTAAACAGTTACAAGGACCTTGTAAGAGGTTAGAGCAGGAATTCACAAACCAACACCTCTCCAGGCAAATCTAGTCAGCTGTCTGTTGTCCTAAATTTCATTGGAACCCAAATATCTTCACGTACACTTTCATGCCACAGTGTTAGAGTGAGTGAAGTAGCTGTGACAGAGATCATATGGTGAGCAAAAGCAAAAATAATCTACTCATTGGCCTTTCATAGAGTTTAGAGATGTATAAGTTATACATATATACTAGTAATTATAACCTGGTTTAGAGAATATATTTATAATCAGATGCTGGTAGTAATACAAATGAACTTCGTTATAGTCAGAAAAAATAGAGGTTCAGAAAGGTGAGACAGTTAAGTTTAAATAGATTGCTAGAACACAAACAGGAGAATTGGAATAGGAACCAATATGTTTAGATATCAAATCCTATTTTCCTAATCCCTCCATCAAAGCATTAAGTAGTATGACATCTGAATCAATTTCAATAGCAATCTTTGAGTTTAAGATAAAACAATGTCAGTCTTTCAAAGACATTTGGTCTGTACGAAAGAAAACTTTCACTGTTTCCTTTTTTTTTTATAATTTATTTATTTATTGAATCACTGTGGGAAAAGTTACAGAGCTTTCGGGTTTAGGTCTCAGTCATGTAGATACCAAACACATTTCCCTTTACCAATACTCATTTTTAACCCCGAACCCCAATAGACCCCCACCTCCCACCCCTCCCAGTTCTTGTGAGGCAGATGAGTTCTAGTTAATACTCTATCTACTTTGACTAGATAGATTATTTCGATAGAAGATGCACAATTATTGTTTAGAGTTTACGACCCACCCCCCACAATCAGACATGCTGAAACAGCGTTGTGAAATGATTTGCTTTCTACAACTTGGTTTAAGAATAAAATGATGTCGCGCGGCCGCGATAGTGGCCACGCGGTTTTGAATTTCTGCTATTGTTTCCTTTTAACCTCCAAAACATCTCAAATATAATACAAGCCAAAAAGCAAGGTGACTGGTCTGTTTAGATATACTAAAATAGAGTGTTTAAAGGCATTTGGGATGGTACCCCTAGACATGGGGTACCATCCATTTCTTAGCTCTGATGTTCCCCTGATAACCAGACCAGTCATTTCCTTTTCTCATCTGACAAGTGGCACTTAAAATTATTCAAAGGAGTTTGGTAATGAATAAATGAGACAAAATGAAAGTGTTAATCACAAAGTAAGTGCTACATATTTACTGTCTAAAAAATCCAATCCTTGATTATTAAAAAACTGTCTCTCCAAACTCAGACTTCCAACTCATTCCTGATAGTGCTGTTTATTTTTTTAATTCAAAACATCTCCTATATTTTGGTTACCTTTAAAAGATAAAATAGGGGGTATGGTGCCGCCAGCAGGTCAAACTGTACCTGTGAGGCTAGTGTATCAGCAGCCTGATGGCACCTTCAGACTTCCAGATACCCCAAACTGCTGCTGTGCCGTTGGCCAGACCCCAAAAACTTGGGGCAAAGTTTACCAAGAAAGTAAATGGCCAAAAGTTAGGTATGTGGGAGACACACCCACAGACCATCTCCGGCTCAGCTATATAATTGGAGGCATGGCCTCTCTGGTTCCTGATCAAACTGCTTAACGATCTTGATCCCAGAGACTCAGAAACAAATCTCGAAACCCAACGGCTTTTGGCAGAAATGCATCCGGTCCCTGCAGTAGATTACCGGTACTGAGTCAACCCAGGTGGGAATCGGTTTTGTCCCTTGGCCTGTTCCCCCTGGCGGCCCGGTGACTGCCATCCTCCAGAGGCCACTGGACAGTCAGGTTTGGGTCCACAGTGACGAGACACGCAGGGCCTCATGGGATGGGGGTGGAGCCGGTCCTTTCCTCCCCACCCCAACGAGACCCCAAGTCGTCACCCACGAACAGCCTCTCTGGCTCCTGATCAAGCTGCTTAATGGCCATGATCCCAGAAACTCAGAAACAAATCCCGGAACACAGTGGCTTTTGGCAGAAATGCGTCCAGGCCTGCAGTAGGCTACTGTCGCCAGGCCACCCCAGGGGGGAAAGGGTGCTCTCCCTCCGCCTGCTTCCCCTAGTTGACTCGGTGGCTGCCATCCTCCAGAGGCTATTGGACAGTCAGGTTTGGGCCCTCGGTCACGAGACACACGGGGGCCTCACGGGACTTTCCTCCCCACCCCAACGAGACCCCAAGTTGTCACCCACGAACGGCCTCTCTGGCTCCTGATCAAGCTGCTTAACAGCCATGATGCAAGAGACTCAGAAACAAATCTCGGATCCCAGTGGCTTTTGGCAGAAATGTGTCTGGACCCCGCAGTAGGTAACTGTCGCCGGGCCACCCCAGGGGGGAAAAGGGTGTTGTCCCTCTGCCTGCTCCCCCTAGGCGGCTTGGTGGCCGCCATCCTCCAGAGGCCACAGGACAGTCAGCTTTGGGCCCTCAGTGACGAGACATGCAGGGCCTCATGGGAGTGGAGCTGGCCCTTTCCTCCCCATCCCAACGAGACCCTGAGTCACCACCCATGAACAGCCTTTCTGGATCATGTTCAAGCTGCCTAACGGCCATGATCCCAGAGACTCAGGAACAAATCTCGGAACCCAGCAGGTTTGGCAGAAATCCCTTTAGACTTAAGTGTTAAAATTGCAGAATTTCAAAATCATGCGGCCACTACTGCAGCCACGTGACATCATATGTTATTCTTAACCAGCAATAGAAAACAAATTGTCTACTGTTGCCTTTTCAGCAGATCTGAGTGCTGGGGTAAAATCCCAAATAATAATAATAGTGGGTCTGGTGTCAAAATATTGAATGTGACCAAAGTAGAGAGTAATATGGAAATCATATGCCCCACAGGTAGGGGAAGGGTGTGGGATAGGGGTATACTGGGGTTTTTTTGGTGGTGAGGAATGGGCACTGGTGAAGGTATGGGTGTTTCATTGTATGACTGAGACTTAAACCCGAAAGCTTTGTAACTGCTCTCACAGTGATTCAATAAATAAAATTATGAAAAATGAAAAAAAAAGAAAGATAGAGTTCATGCCCAATTCAATCAGCTAATCAGTGGCTGAATAAATAGCAGTACTCCTATATTAAAAAAGATAAAATAGAGGGCTGGAGCGATAGCACAGCTGGTAAAGCATTTGCCTTGCACATGGCCAACCAGGTTCGATTCCCAGCATCCCATATGGTCCCCCTGAGCACCGCCAGGGGTAATTCCTGAGTGCAGAGCCACGAGTAGCCCCTATGCATTGCCAAGTGTGACCCAAAAAAGCAAAAAAAAAAAGAGATAAAACAGAATACAATTTAAAAATAGTCCATTCAACATATGCATGGGCTGGAGCAATAGCACAGTGGGTAGGGTGTTTGCCTTGCACGTGGCCGACATGGTCAACCCGAGTTCGATTCCTCTGCCCCTCTCGGAAAACCCGGCAAGCTACTGAGAGTATCTTGCCCGCACAGCTACCCGTGATGTATTCGATATGCCAAATACAGTAACAAGTCTCACAATGTTACTGGGCCCACTCGAGCAAATCAATGAACAATGGGAGGACAGTGACAGTGACAACATGCACACCATTATTCACTGCTGCACTCAGATACAATAGCTAAGATATGGAATCAACCTAGGTGCCCAATGACGGATGGATTATGAAGAAATGGTATTTATACATAACTGAATACTTTGCAGCTGCAAAAAACTATGAAATTATGCAATTTGCTGCAACATGGCTGAAACTGAGAGATACCATGTTGAGTAAAGAAAGCCAGAAGAAAGACAAACACAAGATGATCTCATTTATCTCTGGTATATGGAATACTTGATGAGGAAATGTATTATAGACCACCCGTGACCCAGCGTTTAGGGAGAGGACGATGAAGGAAAGAAATCAAAGGGGGAAGAAGAACATGGCAAGTAATAAATGAACAGTCATCAGAGCTTCAGTTATACCAGCGGTAGGGGTGAGTGGTATAGCAATATATCTAAAATACAAACTCAACAAAACTGAAGATGTGATATAAGCTGCAACCAATGAAACTTTGTAATGTGCCTGTCAAACTGATGGGTGGGGATTGGGGTGGGTAGGGAATATAGGAACACTAGTGGAGGAAAATTGACACTGGTGGTGGGTTGGTGTTGAAATATTACATGCCTAAGACTCAATTATCAGTAATTTTGTAAATTACAATTCCATAATATCAAAACACCTCATTTAAGAAACATTAAGGAGTATTAAGGAATATTTATCCTTAGTTAAGTCACTCTTCCACATATTCTGAACCTCTGCACTTAGTGGTCTAACAGGTATTTCAAGTTTGACATATCCCAAACAACTCCCAAGTTATCCTGCAAATGTTCAGCCCTTTGTCCGTGACATAAGTTACAAATATTTTTCATGTTCACTGTCTTTTGAATTTACTCCTGACCTCCAAAGCCTGAAGAAGTCCTTGAGGTCAGAGCAATAGTACAGCAGGTAGGGTGCTTGCCTTACATGCAGCCAACCTGGATTTGATCCCCAACATCATATATGGTCTCCTGAGCAATGCCTGGAGTGATCCCTGAGCTCAGAACTGGAATAAATCCTGTGCACTGCTGGGTATGGCCCCAAAACAAAAAAAAATTCCTTATTCCAGCCTTACGAAACAATCTATGACTTGAACTGAACTTTGATGATGGTGTCATTATTGCATGCAACTATGTAGTCCAATTGGAATTCACTGAATTGTTAATTGTAAGGCAGGATTCTACCATAGTTTTTGCTAGAGAGCTTCCTGTGGTCCTAGTCTAATTGGTTGAACCATCTTTCCACCTGCTGATAGCATGCAGGTCAACAGAAAGAGAAGTCAAGAAAGATGACCTCCAAGACTTGAGCCACCAGATAGATAACTTTTCCCTTTACAGAACAAAACCTAAGTATGGGAATTAAGGCTATAAAATTAATAAGCACAATTGTGAAATTATGACAACTATGGGACAGAGAGGTGATTTTCTATGTACTAATCTACCTAACCATTTTTCATAGTCATAGAGTTCTTTCTTTTCTATGACTCTATAGGAAAAATTCTCCTATGCCTGAGGTTAAAAGAAATGGGCAGATAGTTAAGAGAGCCAAAAAGCACAAGATAGAATTAAAAAATGGATCCTATAAAATTCTCTAAATTAAAAATATATGGGTTCAGAATAAATCCTAGGGACAGAGAAATGACTCAATGGTCCAGTACACTTGCTTTGTAGGACGGAGGCTGGAGTTTGAGCCCCAGCACCAAATGACTTCCTGAGTATTGCCAGAAGCAATTCTAAGCACCATCAGGTGTGGCTTCAAAACAAAAAGAGGTAACCTCTAACATCTTTTTCCTCAAATTTATAGGGATCTTTTCGGAACTAATAAGCTTATGAGAAAGAAACATTCCTCTGAAGTTCCTCAATATCTATGATCTTACTTATATGGCTCTTCCTTCTATTATATTTTTGTTGTTGTTGATTTGGAGGGCACACCTGGCAATGCTCAAGAGGTCACTCTTAGCTATAAACTCAGGAATCACTCCTGGCAGTGCTCAATGGACCATACGGGATGCCAGGGATCAAACCCAGGATGGCTGCAGGCAAGGCAAGCACCCTACCCACTGCACTATCTCTCCAGAGCTTTAAAAGACAGAGATTAAGTGGAGGGTAAGCAAAGTTTTGAAAAATTTTGTTTTGACCAGGAAATACTCGTGCAACTAACTTTATCACACCTAATTCAAGTCAGTTCCTAATAGGGTCCACTTGAAATTCACCCCTTCAGATGAACACTATACACAGCTCAAACAATTCTGTTGTGCCAACAAAAACATGTTACAAATGCCAGCCAAGGAAACAGGATTATTATATTTACTTACCCCCAACCAAAGACACACTTTATCAGTGGGAGGCACTGAAGCTTTGCAGTACAAGTTATCTGCCAGTAAGAATCTAGTCTCCATTGAATTGGTGGACTCCTTAAAAGAATGAAAATGCTATAAACATGCTAGTTTAATACCGAGATAACAGAACTGAAAGCTGAACTTAAGTTCTTCAAAACACTGCCAACATACAAATTAAGTATAACGGTAAAAGAAATGAATGCTGGAGTCAGACGGCTGGGCACAAAGACCATGGATGACTAGCTATGTAAGTTTGATACATAACTTTACTTCTTTTACCTCTGACTGTTTCCTCATCTGTAACATGAGGTTAAGAATAATACCTGTCTCTCTCATTTTCTCTGTCTCTCTACACACATACCAAGTGTCTGACACAAAGTAATGATTCTGCTATATAAGAGTTAGCTATTACTCATATTACTAATTGCCAACCAGCCAGTTTTCTACAGTTCTGTAGAAACTTCATACAATCTTTAAAATATATTATGTTTATAAAATTTAATCATTATAGCCTGCTTTCAATGAGTGGATTAAACCAGATCAAATTCCAGATTCTCAAATCTAGTTCTGCCACAGAGAAGCAACATGACACTGATCAACTGTAGCATGTCTCTAACTGTTGCTTCTACTTCGAAATGAAAACTGGAACACATAATTTCTAGTATTCTTTCCAATGTTTAGAGACCAATCATAACAAGAAAATACCTTAGATGTTCCTACCTCAAAATGGGACATTTTCTTTTTGTACTAGTAATTTCAATTAAGTATTAATAATTTTGTACAAATTGTTCAAATTACATCTTAAAATTTTCAAGCAATGCATACAATTAATCTAAGAACTGAGGTCCTAGAATTATACCAGATTTGGCGAGGGGGAGGGGAGTCACATTAACCACAGAAGCGCTTCATCTGTAATGTAATTACCTGTTCTCAAGAAGGTAGATTGGACCACAGAGATCAGTACCCAAGGAATAAAAGAAGATACTGTCCTATTTATAAGAAAAATACACTTACTTTTTTCTTCTGCATGTATTTTAGAATTTCTAAAGTCTGCTTAATTTCAGGAATCTGATTTTTAAGCCTGTAAACAAGAAAAAGGTTAACTTAGTATTTTGAGGCAAGACTATCAGGTCATTTGCGTTCTATTAATACAATCGAGAATTATTTACAAATATAAGTTAAGATATATTTGAGATATTAACAAGTTCTATTTATAAAAGTATTAAGAAGTATAATGAAAATGTAGATAGCATACAAACACACCATTATGATTATTTCACATTTCTATTTGCAAACCACATTTCAGAGGTTATCAGAAGTACACAATTATCCTTAACAGAGTCATTTTAAAGTAACAGATATTCAAATATTTTTGTTCTGAATTTGGAACCACTGGAAACCACCAGTTCTCAAGCCAGATCTATGAAGCCTGCATAGTCCTGGTGAATGCCTTCACCACATAGACATATGCATCACAGTTACCTAAACATGAGCAAAGCAATGACAGCTTCCTGCATTTGGAAAAAGCATGTTCAATATTCTGCATGCCTAATATACCAGATTACAATAGAGTATAACAGTTCATGGACATTTAGAAGCCTGCATATGCAGTTCCGGAACCCATAACAAAAGACTACCTGCCTAACCCTGGTGCTAACTAACCAACCCCAGAGCCAGGCCTCCTTTACTTCAGTAAAAACCCGTCCAGTGTTTTACACTGGCAGGTGACATCCTCCTTAGGCTTGTGAGCACTCTCTTTCGAATAAACTCCATTTCAGTCAAATTCTCCTCTTGGACTATTTCTTTCCTTCTGCAACCCTGTCCCAGGCCTTTCATAATAGTACAATTCTAACTATACAATATTACAAACAGGAATGAAGAAAGCAAAAATGATTAGCACGGAGGGATGAATAGATGGAGCACATAGAATTTCTTCTTTTTGGTTTGGGGGCCAGACCCAACAGTACTAAGGGATTACTCCTGGCTCTGAAATCAGGGATCACTCCTGGTGGGGCACAGGAAACAATATGGGGTACCAGGGATAAAACCCGGTTTGCCACATGTGAGCACCCTGCCCACTGTACTACCCCAGCACTGTTTTCTTAGAACAGTGAAACTACACTGTATAGTATTATAAAAGTAGATAGCACATGCATCTGTCAAAACTTATGACAAGTACAACAAAACAAAGTCTAAGCCATGGAATTTCACTGACAATAATTTACCAAGATATTGGCTGATCAACTATAACAAATACAGCAATCTGGTGAAGGATATTGGTAACAGAGGTAGCTAAGCATGGAAAAATCTCTGTACCTTCTACTCTATTTGTCTATGACCCTACAGGTACGATAAAAATAAAGCCACAAAAAATGAAAAGCTAGGCTAGTGAATTATCTTGCATGCAGGATGACCAACTCAATCCCCAAAACTGTCAGGATCCACTCCCAAGCACAGAGCTGGTAGGAGTCCCCAAGCACAACTGGCTGGGCCACCAAAACATAAAAAGTAAAATAAAAATAAAGTAAAATTACTAGCAATTGATTCCCAAATGAAATCAGCCTAAAAAGAGCATGAGACAAATTCTTTTTTGGCTCAAAAGTCACTTAAAAAAAAAGAAACTGTTCTGTCACTAAGGTGTAGCTCTTTTGGGGGGGGGAGGTCACACCTGGCAATGCACAAGGGTTACTCCTGGCTCATGCACTCAGGAATTACTCCTGGCGGTGCTCAGGGAACCATATGGGATGCTGGGAATCGAACCCTGGTTGGCTGCGTGCAGGGCAAACGCCCTACCCACTGTGCTCCAGCCCCAGTTTAGCTCTTTCTTAATGACAATGAGAAACTTCCCACGGCCTTCATTTATTTTGCATGGAAAAATATACAAAACAGCAGGTCAGAGAGATGAGCAGGTATGGTGTTTGTCTTGTATGCAGCTGACCCAGGTTTGATTTCCAATATCACATAGGGTCCCCATGAGCCCATCAGGAGTGATCCCTAAGTGCAAAGCCAGGAGTAAGCCTGAGCACTGCCAGGTGTGGCCCAAAAACAAAACAAAAAAACTTGTTGGAACACTGTATGACATACCCAATCATAAACAACTTTATAACTGAATCTCCCAGTTATTCAATAAAAGAAATTTTAAGAAACCTATCACGATCTTGCTCAAGCCCATGTTCTCACTTGAACACATATCTAAGTTGCTAATCTCTGTGTTCCTTTGCCTGCTAGTTTCCACATTCTTTCTCTCCCCTCACATCTTTCTAAATGTCTTAATAAAAACTATCTTGCTTCACCAAAAAAAAAAAAAAACCCAAAACCCATCACTATGTGGTACTCCAGGAACACACAGATGAAATCTAATTAAAATTTAATTAAGAATTAAATTTAGGGGCCGGAGCCATAGTATAGCATATCCCATATGATCCCCCAAATGCCACCACGAGCAATTCCTGAGTGCAAAGCCAGGAGTAACCCCTGAGCATCACTGGGTGTGACCCAAAAAGCAAAAAAAAAAAAAAGAATTAAATTTAATTGCTAAATTATTAAATTTCATCAATTTAAATCCTAATATTCTGTGAACTCTTTGGAATTAAATATGAGTATTTTAGAACTCTCAATTTTGGTCATTTTTATAGATACTCATCTAATCAAATGACCAAAAGATGTGTCCTTCTGTGAAATGTCAAATACACATACAAATTAAGAAACGTGTCCATATCAAGGTTTTTGGCCCTGTAAATTATTTCTATGTCACATTTTGGGAATGCCTACAGCAGTACTTGGGGGCCCAGTGCCCATTCCAGGAAAGAGTTGGCCTGGCATATCCAGGTCTGACAGTCAGGTGCTTGATGAGGCATGGTGATCCTCCATAAGAAGGTGTCATGCAGTGCAGGAGACCAAACTCTGGCATATAAGTTCCAACCCTCTGAGCTATCTTCCAGGCCAATACTGCAACACAGTTTCGTATGTTCAATTAACACATTTACTATTGTAAGACATGTTGTATACTGATAGACCCAGCAGCCTAAGCCACCAAGGTCACACATATACCCAAGTAACATAACCAACTCTCCTCACCCTGCTACATCCTGAAAGAACAGGCAGTTCTAACCTGAGTGCTTACACCCTTAACTATTATCTTTGCTGGTTTCATGGCTTAAAAGTAAAATGTTTAATGTTATGGGGTGCTAGGAACTAAGGGCCACTGAGGCTTAGGTCGAATAAGTAAGATAGATGCCCAGAAGTAAGTGTTATTCAGAGTCAATGAACTCCCAAGTTACAAAAGCATAGCATTAACAGTCCTCCTGTGTCTATACAAAAAGGACATTCCTCTAAAGTAAACTATGCAAAGAACATAAGAGAGAGAAAAGCAGTATTTCACTTACAAATACAAAATCCAGAGTTCCTCAGAAGGATCTGGCCTTACAAGTCACAGGGTCTGAATTGGGTAATAGATGTTTAACAGATGGAGAAGCAGGGCACAGAGGAGAAGTTAAAGATGAACACAGAGGAATGGGAGTGCCTCTGGGTAACTGTGATGGGTGTAACCCAATAAACCTAAGCTCCCTGCGGCAAGGGAGAACAGAAAAAACAATTGTACCCTACAGAAATATGAAAAATAAGTATGGGGCTGGAGCAATAACAATAGCAATAGCACAGTGGGTAAAGCATTTGCCTTGCATGTGGTTCAATCCCCAGCATCCCATATGGCATCCTGAGCACCGTCAGGAGTTATCCTGAATTCAGAGCCAGGAGGAACCCCTGAGCATTGCTGGGTATGACCCACAAAGCCAAAAAAAAAAAAAAGAGAAGTGGCTATATGACAACCAATACTACTGTTGAAATAAAGAACTAATGTTTATTTGCCAAAAGACAAATGACCAAAGTCAAAAGAAGAGGGGGAATAATAAAGAGAAATAAGGGGCCAGAGTAACAGTAGAGTGGGTATTACACTGGTCTTGCAAGTAGCAGATACAGGTTCTATTCCCAGCATCCCATTTGGATCCCTGAGTCCGCCAGGAGTGACCCCTGAGCAGAGCCAGGATAAGCCCTCGGCACTGCCCAATGTGCCCCCCCCCCCAAAAAAAATGGGTGGCAAAATCAGAAGTGTCAATATCCACAGAAACCTGAATTTCCAATGAGGGGGGAAACTACCAGATAGAAAAACAAAGCAAAAAATAAAATCAAAATTTCCAGTTACAGGGGAAAAAGCTTAAGATTCGTGTGTTAAAGATAAATGATGGGCAGCAAGATTTATACAATACACAAAGACTATATAAAATATCAATAATTTTAGCATCCAAATTAAATAAATCCCTCTGCTAAAACATCGATACATCATGAAGAGTCATTTTGTTTCATTGTTATTATCAAAGCAGTGAGGAAAATTGCAGGAAAAATTAAAACTAAAGGCAATAAAACAGAAGAGGCTTCGAGCTGAGTAGTGAGGTCTATAGAAAAGGAGGTGTCGAGAAGCAGATGTCCAGCCCCACTTAGACCTAAGGCCCAAGTTGAGACCTGACTCTGAGTTCAGTAGGGAGGAGGCTTAAGTGGGAGGAGGCTAGTAAAGAAAACAGTCAAAGCAAAATCCTCTACCGAGAAAGGCAAACTTGTCCATAGCCACAGTCATAGGAAGCTGGAATAAAGTTAGATAAGACATCCACACTTAGACAAATTATAGTGAAATAAGAAAATTAAAAAGGTTTTGTTATTTTTAATAAAGGACAGAAATTTCCAGTTAAGATGGCAGCAGAGAGGCTGGAGAGATGGTACAGTTGATGAGGGTCTTGCCTCACATGAGGCCAATCTGGATGCAACGCCCAGCACTCCATATGGTCCCTGGAGCCCAGCCAAAAGTGATCCCTGAGCACAGAGCGAGGAGTTAAGCTCTGAGCCCTGCAGAGTGTGACGCTTCCCTCCAGTCAAAATTAAAATACGGCAGGAAAGCTGGTTCATTCTAATCCTTCAAATGGCCAGAGCACACTTCCTTTGTTAGAGAGTAGCATAGACATAACAAGTGTTTAGAACCACAGGCTAAAAGTCCAGCAAGGGATGATACAGAAAAGTGAGCTGATTTCCTGC